TCTTTTTGTGTGTTTAACGCCCAAAATTGAGGGTATTTTTTAATCCTTTCCAACATGTTCAAAACGCTTCAATATGTTCGCATCACTGGAATCAATATGGCGCTTAGATGTTCGCGTCGCGTTAGAGCATATTCCATGGACTTAAGAGCATCCTCCATTTGCCTCACCTCAGAAGGTGATACGATTGGGGCATGTTACGCACGCATGTAATGGAAAACGTATTGTATCGAAAAAAGTATTTCAGATTCATTTTATATAAAAACGCATTTAATAAATTTTTGATATAATAATATAAAAATATAATATAACAATATAATATAAAAACGCTAACTTCACTAAACTTCACTAAACTACTAATATCACGAGTTAAATTGATTAGCAATTTAACAAATTTTTTATGTTTATTCGCATCTGCGAAACGATCTTAATAATGTTGAATGATATATTAAAATCTGTAAATAATTAATTAATAATTAAAAATATAAATAAATAAAATAAAATAAATAAATAAAATAAATAAAATTAAAAAAATTAAAAAAATTAAATAAAATAATATTAGATTTAGAGCGATATCTTTTATTAGCTTTTGAGTAAGGCCGACTGCTCTCTTACTTGACTTACTGTATATGCGTAATAAATTATGCTACTCCTGTAAAGAGTGCACTTTAGTAGACGAACATAATACCAAGGTGATAAAACATTATGACATTCTAGAATGTAAAATAGAAGCTGCAACGTGTGTGAACAAGTCACGTGCAAGTGCTCCGTGTAAGAATGTATGATCTAAAGACTGTGAAAAAAAGACATGGAAAACCACGAGCGAGTGGAACACGAACTGCTGGAACAGTGCGGCCAGGTCGTTACTCTAGTGGAGTGTTTCGCGTGGCTGTAGCGATGCGACGAGTGCATCGAGCAGCTCGAAGAACTTTGTCGTGCTAAGCGTCCACACCTCGCCATTGGATACAGACAATCCGCGGTGGCGAGGACTCGCGGGTGCAAAATTGCAATTGGAGCGACGTTTCGTGCACATTGGTGGCGAATATGCGAGTGGCAACGAATGATCTCTTGTCTGGCAAAAAATCGACGCCGCGTTCGAGAATCGTACAGGTGCGGTGATAAACTCTAATCACATCGACCCGCGGCGGTTTTTAGAAGGCGCTGGCGATGTAGTGCTCGAGCGAGTGCGAGACGCTGTAGAAAGACACGGCAGTGTAAAAGTGAACACCGCGATCAACGGCGAGTTTGCGACGAAGGATAAACGTGCTAATAAGAGCATAATTACAAAGAACAGTGAGATCGTTGCACTGATATGCGCGAGTGGTACAAGCGACACGTCGTCGCGCCTATCCTAGCATCGCTCGAAGAATTTCAGCAACGCGACAGCGCGTGGGCATTGTCGCGAATCTTCAATTTGGTAGTGAATGTGAATAAGCATAATCCAATGGATGCGGGATGTCACATCGAAGTGCCGCGAGAAATAGCAACAAAACGAGCGGTGATCAATGTTTGTTCAACGGACAATGCATGTTTCGCGTGGTCAATGGTCGCCGCTCTGTAGCCCGCAGAAAGACACGAGAGCAGGAAATATTTTTGTGATCGGTAAGTATAATAAAAATAAGCCAATAAAAAACAGTAAAAAGAAATAGAAAAATAATTTCTTTATTATTTGCAGGTGCCTTTATTACTTCAGTTCGTGCGAAAAATTGCAGTCACGAAGTGGACTGCTAGAAGATCAACAACTGCGCCATCCGACTGCCGAGCGAGGATGACAGATGGCTCGAATTCGGCAACTATAACAACTGGAAACGAGTGCCGTTCATCGTCTACGCCGATCTGGAATGCGTCATATGGAAGATGGAATCCGAAGGAAGACGCGTCGTCGTACGCGTATCAACAGCATGAAGCCTTTAACATAGGCTACTATGCTAATAGTGCGATGCGCGTATGACGACATTATCGTCGTATCATTTCCGTCGCGATGAAGACTGTATGGCGTGGTTCGAGCGGCAACTCAATGATTTGGCGCATCGCGTGAAAAATATCGTATACGCCAACGTGCCCATGAAAATGTTATCTAAACAGCAATGGGAGGCTTATCGTAGCGCGACGCGTTGTCACATCTGCGAGAAACCGTTCGCGCCGGACAATACGCGGGTCCACGATCATTGTCATCTCACCAGTAGATACCGCGGTCCAGCGTATTCAAGAGAATTGTAATTTAAATTATAAAAATTCATTTTATATTCCAGTCGTATTTCACAATTTATCAGGCTACGATGCGCATTTTATAATTAAGGAAATTGCTACCGCGTACGATGGACATGTAGATGTACTACTGATAACCAAAGAAAAATATATTTTGTTTACTAAACATGTCGGTAGCACCAAAGACAAAAATGAAAAGAATTTTCAGAAGAATTGTGTAAAATTAAGGTTCACTGATTCTTTCAAATTTTTAAATGCAAGCCTTGATAAATTGGCGTCGTATCTCGAAAGATAAATTAAAAATTGTACGTTCTGAATTTCCAACATTATCAGACGAAGAATTTGAATTACTCATACGAAAAGGTGTCTTTCCGTACGAGTACATTGATTGCGTCGAAAAATTGCAAGACACGCGCTTACCACCGCGCGAATTATTTTTCGGTTCATTGATAGGCGACACAATATCCGAGAGCGATTACGCTTACGCCGTGAACATCTGGAAACGATTCTCCATCCGAACGCTCGACAAGTACATCTGTACTTGAAAACGAATGTCTTGTTATTAGCCGACATTTTCGAAAATTTCTGCAATAGTTGCATTGCGAGTTACTGTTTCAATCCCGCGCATTATTATACATTACCAGGTTTCATGTGGGACATCATGTTGAAATATACACGCGTAAGATTCCAGTTGCTCATCGACATTGATATGGTCATGTTCATCGAGCGCGGTATACGTGACGACTTCAATCAAAATAGCAAATACGTACAAGCTAATAACAAGTACATGTATTCGTTCGATCCATAGAAACCGTCGTCGTACTTGATGTATTACTATGTGTTGGAAACGCGCCCTCAGTACCGTTGACATAGAGGGAGAGACGCGTGTTACCGGCCGAGGAGTGACTTTGAGGAAGATAGCCGGAAGTAGTCGCGTGTGAACGGAAGAAGACGAGATCGCGAGCAGAGAGAGTGCCCGCCATTATATATTTCCCGCCATTATAGCCGTTCGCCTCTTTTTACTGCCATTGTTACTACGTTTAATCCGAGTCGTATGCTCTCACTGTTTTATAATAAAGTAGCGTGTTCGTGTAAAAATAAGAAGAAGTGTCTAATATTATTGAGAACCTTACGATCCCGAAACCGCGGCTGCAACACTATGTGAATAATCTGTACGGATGGGTGATGTGTTATCATATGCCGAATTTTGATGGGTCGAAGACGCTGCGAACTTTGATGTGAGCGCGATCGCTCCGAATTCACCTATCGGTTATATTCTCGAGGTTGATCTCGAGTATCCGCAGCATGTACACGACCGACACACTGACTTATCTTTCTGTCCAACGCGCGATGAATCGCCCGGCAAGCGCGAAAATAAACTTCTAGCGATAGTTGTACGATAAGCAGCATTACGTCTACTATCGCAACCTGCAGCTTGTACTCGTCACGGTCTTCGCGTAATAAAGATCCACTGGGTGCTACAATTCGCTCATTCTCCATGGCTCTGCAATTACATTGAACTCAATACACAATTTAGAACGCTCGGGAAAAACGATTTCGAAAAAAATTTCTATAAACTAATGAACAACGCGATATTCGGTAAGATCATGGAGAACGTGCGCAACAACGTTGATGTAAAATTAATAACAAAATGGGACGGACGGTATGGCGCGGAAGCAATGATCGCGAAACCGAATTTTCACAGTCGCAGCGTCTGCGGAAAATTTCCCATCGAAATGCGCAAACTCGAGGTGAAGTTCAACAATCTGATTTACGTGAGTATGTGCATACTCGACATATCGAAAGTCTGCTACGAATTTCACCACGAGTACATATCACCGATGTATCGCGACAAATGCAAGATCATCGACACGGACAGTCTCATTTACTATATAGAATGCGACGATGTTTACGAAACGCGATATCGCTAGATTCGACACGAGCGATTATCTGGCAGACAATATGTACGGTATGCCTCTCGCGAACAAAAAAATATTCGGCCTGATAAAGAATGAGAATAACGGTTTTATTAATTACCGAATATGTTGGACTCAGAGCGAAGATGTAAGCGGTGAGAGTGAATGGCAAGAACATTAAAAAGGCGAAAGGCATAAAGAATAACGTCGTAGCGTGAATGATAATGTTCGATAATTACACGTAGTGTTTAAACGAAGACATTGACGAAATGACTCGCCGTCAATCGTGTATACGATCTAAATTATACGAGGTGTACACGATATCCGAATCGAAAATCGCTCTAAATCCATACGATGACAAACGATACCGTACCGGACTCGATGGAGACATTACCGTGGCATTGGCGAATATCTTTGTAATATATGTATTATATATGTAGTATATATTGCTATTATGTATTACTTGCAATTTACACTTTTTTTTTTTACATTTATGCAAGTATTATTAGTATGTTTTATGTATTACGATTTTACTTTCATATAATACATATCGTATGTTTTTAACATTTATATATGTATTATATACTAGTATTCTAATTTACATTTTATGTCTCATGTTTTTATCATTTATGCGTATTACTATTCCTTTGAATTACACTTTACGTATGTTTTTTACATGTAAATAAGTATTACTATTATGTATTACTACATATATATGTATTCTCTATACATAAATTATTACAAATAATTTTATATTTTGTATACTCCAAAACGAAGATGATGATGAATGGGGAGTAATAAAAAAAAATATAAAACGTTTATATACTTATATTGACATATATTTTTATTTGTAGAAAAAATACAAAAATCAAAATTTTATCAAATGACATTGTTTTTGTGTATCCATGAATTGTTCGATCCATTGAATCCCAGCCACTTGACATACACCTTGTCTCCCTTCCTGCGCAGTACTTTCTCCACGAGATACACGTCCGGATGCGTAACGCGATGCAACTCGTAGAACGCACCAGCGACGGATTTTCCGCGATAGTCCTCGAGTAAATAGATTACGGGATTGGTATGCTGCACCTTAACGATCTTAAACATCACGCGTACCGAATCGCCCACTTTGAATTTTGCTGGACCAGCGATTTTTATCACGTTGTACATCATGTCCAAGAGTTTTTCGGCGATCGCGAGAATTACGGGCGGGCCGCATGCCGATAATGCGATGCTTGCGCGCGTTGTAATGTTGCGGGTTGTCTGATACGAGACGCGACAGCTAGTCGATCCACTTGTAATTGCCATTGAGTGTAAATATCTTCCACATCGTCGTTTTTGAGCGTGCGATTGAAACGCTCGATTATTAACACTTTCAACATCGAATACGTGGAATACTGATTAACATCGTATTTTTTCAGGATTTTTTCTACACATTGGCATTGTAAAACTGCTTCCCCATATCCGTTTGTAAATTTTTAGGACATCTTCCACTCGCTCGAATTATTTCAACATAACGTCAGCCGTCTCGCTTCCACCCTTGCTCTTGAGCGGTACGGCCTACTTGCTCAACACATCGATGACGGTGAGTATATAGTGGTGACCTGTGTTGAAGCTCGAGTATGGACGCATCTCGACGATCAGTCTGCCATAGATTGTCGTATCCTCGAACTATGACGCATCTTCGTGGAAAATTTCTTCTCGTCGGAGCGTGCAATTTCTCGACAAGTTGACGTTTCTCGGAACTAATTTGTATCTTTTGGCTGGATCTCTTTTTCATGATTCGACGTGTAATATAAAGGGCAAAATTATTTTTTCTCGCTGACGCCACTCGACTGACTCGTTTCGTCGATATACGATTTAATTTATAATAAGACCGACTTCGCGAAATTCCTCGATAATCGACAGCATCTCGTTGTCGTGAGCGTTGTTGCTCGCTCGATGTGAAGCGTCGAGCAATCAATAGACAATCCACCAGCTCTTTGGGATCGTCCCAGTACAGGTAATCAATTGTGTTGTCGTACAATATCATTGCGTGAGGTAATCCCTTTCCAAATTTCTTCTTCTGTTTCTTGGATGTGACCAACATCAATGGCGCGATTACGTATTTGTACTTGTATCCCCTGTTGCTCAATAATCGGCCCTGCGAATGATGCTCGTGTTTGTGCGCGTTCGTCGCCAGCATGCTTTCGTTCATATCGTCTTCCGTGTAAAGGAGATTCTCGGGAATTCTCTTGAAAATTAACTCGTAAAAACTAGGTATATCGGCATATCGTGCGCCATCGATAATTATGTTGTCCGCATCATCCATGTCGAAACGATTATTACCAAACATCAATCCATCCTTGTGTAAGTAAACGCCATATACATAACTCTTCTGTTTATCTCGCGCCCCCCTCAGGACAGCCTCGATGTACTTTTGACTCAGTGAGCCCAAGCCGGCTGCAACGCCTCTCGACCTCCCGACGTTAGCAACCGATTTTGAACCTTTGTTGCTAGCGAGTTGTCCGTCGAAAATGTTCTCCAACGATTCTATCGTCAGTACGATCATCATACGAGGAGGTTATCGGCTGTACATGATCGTGCGATCGATCATCGGATTTACGCGGGGTCGCGGAACGCTCGAACGTCTCACTCGCTTTCTCTCTCTCTTCCTCCTCCTCCTCCTCCTCTTCTTCTTCCTTTCTCTCGTACTTGGAGGTAGACGCTGCGTCATTATTGCGCGACTTTCTCTTTATCGCGCACACACCGGGGCTGTCACGATCTGTCGCAGTGATTTGATAATAGGCTTAAAATGTCTGTCCATGTCCTCCTCGATTCTACCGGTTTTCAGAGCGATGTTTCTTGCGGATCGACTCGCTCGTCTTCTCGATCTCTCTCGCGATTTTTTCACGCTCGCGCACATCAGCTATGTTCGTCTCTGGCGAAATATCGACAACGATTAGTCAAGTTACAGTATCGCGAACTCGTTAAATCCCTTTCTATATCTCTCGTCTTTAAGTGCATTATCCTTGTCTATTATTAAAAATCCATATTTTTTTGACAATAGTCATGGCACAACACGCAAAATTCGTCGTATGACATGTCGGTATTCACGTGATTGTTGTAAACGTGTTTCAAGTTGGTACAATCCTGTTTGAACAGGATCAGTAAGTTCGCGTTGTCGCGTATCAAATGTTTAGGTATTTTCGCGTACGTCTGACAGAGATAGGAGCAGTTCGTGTGGCGACCCATCGAAAAGTAGTCTCTCATCGCATTCTGCTTGTAGCACGTCATCAAAGATAAAAATTTGGGCCCGCCTCGTTCGGTGGAACGACGTCGCTGTTGTTGGAAAACGTAAAGTAGCCGATTTCATCGATAGACGTAAATAAATTTTTGAGATATTGATATTTTGGCTGTTGCAGTGATTTTGAGTAGACGTACACGGTCTCGAAACGTACGCCGTTTGGACTCTCGAGCAAACTTATGAGAACATTGGTTTTACCACAATTCGACGGACCGCAAATGATCGTGCGTATAGTATTCGGCAGCATTTCGCCGTGCTTGCGCTTCTCCGCGCTGCCTTTCATCATTTGCACAATTTGTGACGCGTATCGTCAGCGGTTGCAGCACGAATTTCATGCTCACATTAAAGGCTACGCGCTCTCGAATTATTGTTTAAAGACGCGCGAATCCGCGAATCGCGCAGTAGCAAAATGTATCTCGCGCTGTGTCATCCTTCCGATATTCGAGACTTGAACGCCGAGCAGTTGCAATATATATACCGAAGGTCGTACTCTTACATGTGCACGGTGACTACATCGAGTACGTCTGGGACAAGCTTCCAGAACACGTGAAGGCAGATTCGGAGGTTCGAACTTATCGTCGCTGCGACGAATACTACAATCAGCCGTGGCAGTGGATGCATATCGACGGTCCTACACCGAAAATAAAGGACTGTAGCGAATGTCGGCGTCCCGCGGCAGGTCTGCTGAATTGAGCGATAAACTCGCTTCCTTTCGAGTTACATATTCCGGGCTACCAGTTTTGCGGTCTGGGTACTCGGCTTACGAAGCGATTAGCCAGAGGTAACGCGTGCATAAATCCATTGGACGCGGCGTGCCGAGAATACGACATTGCGTATTCTCGGAGTAACGATCTCACCGATAGACACACGGTGGACAAGGTACCCGCCGATAAAGCGCTAGGACGCATCGTCGCGAGAGATTCGGTTCTGAGCGAGAGAGCCGCCGCAGCTGCCAAGACCAAGATCGGCACGGGCATGAAATCGAAGAAGAAGACGACGAAGAAAAAGGCGACGAAAAAGTGGATACTTCCGACGGCGAAACAAGGCAGTGCGTTACCGTTTTTGCCAATGTTGACAGCGCTCGGGTCCTTGATCGGCGGAGCGGTTAACGTGATGAAAGCGGTAAACGACAGCAAAGACGACAGTTCGAAGAGCTGCAACGTCACAATCGCGCGATGGAACAACGTCGCGGACTGTATCTCGCTTCGTACATATATGGACTATATCTCGGCTCATACAAACATGGACAGGACGTAGCTGCAAAGAAAAAAAAATGCCAAAAAGACGATAAAAATGCTTCTGGCGCAACTACCAATATACAATTGAACGAGCTCGTGATACCATACTTCAGAAGCTTTTCATACGTAACACGTTACCGACGAGTGACGCACGTTAAAACGAAAACGATATCGTGAATCTGGACGATGCGGCAAGGCCTGGTACTCACTGGGTAGCGTACGCGAAGAGGAACAATCGCATCGTGTATTTTGACAGTTTCGGTAATCTTCGATCGCCCAAGGAACTGGTGCGATATTTCGGGAATGGTGCTACGACGATAGAGCTGTGAAATCTTAGTATTAGTCGAACGCTTTTTCCATCATGTTGTCGACGCTTACGCTAAGCGGAAAGAACATCGTCCTCGCAGCGAATTACTTCCCCGCCATAGATTTGAGTGACGGAGATTACGAGCTCAATCTGGCGATTTTTGAGACTTACCACACGGTACCGAAACGTGAATGAATCGGACAACTTTTATTAAACATATATAAGAAATTTTATTTCGCCAAAGACAATGCGGAAATTACAATTCCCAAGAGTTCGTACGAAGTGCGATAAATGAATTTCTGAAATGCACGATTTTATGAAAACGTCCGAACCGCGACGCACTTGAAACCGTTGATGTAGTGCGTGGTGACAATAACAATGACACCGATAATGATAATAGTGAAGGTGGAGAATATCCGATTACGCTCCGCGCAAACTATAACACGATGAGATGTGAGATTAGATATGCGTATAGAATAAACTTTGGCAAGCCCAACAGCATTGGATCGCTGTTGGGATTCTCGAGGAGTATTCTGCGGCCGCGAAGGTGGCACGAATCGAACGTGTCGATCAACATAATGAATGTAAACGTTATCCACGGAGAGTGTAACGTGACCGCGGGCGCGTACAGCAACGGCAAAAGCGCGCACACAATACATGAATTTTCGCCGAGCGTGCCACCAGGATATAAGATATTCAAGAGGCCGATGCAAATCATTTACCTGCTGATCATCGCACGGAGCATTACGGATTTAACGATACGCATCGTCGATCAGAACGGATGATTGCTTGATTTTCGAGAAGAAGAGATCATTGTTAGTAGATTGCACGGCAACAGTGATAACATGAGCATGAGATGCTCGTGCTGAACGGAACGGAGCGTACGCAGAGATAATGTATTCTTTACAAGGCCAGTTTACAAGCGGTGTCACAAGCTTGACAACACTCGCTCATCCAGCTGCATCAGGAAGAAGAAGAAACTCAACGCGTCGAACGTTACATTTATAAAGTCTTTGGGATCCGCGGTGCACAACATTTGAGATGACTGATATCCTAAACATTAAAGACGAGCCGATCTTCAATGATCGCATCGTCAAGATTGAGACTCACATGTACAGCGTTCACTAACACAACGTTTGGGTACAGCGACGAAATAAGAATACCCATATAGCAACAGGATCTATACATACTGTCGTACGAAAGCTTTCTATACGTCGAGGGAAAAAACTGACGAAGAACAAAGTGATCCAGGGTGCTCACGTGACATTGGGAAATAATTGTGTCGCGTTCATATTCGATGAGATTCGATATGAATTCAATAGTGTGGAGATTGACCGTAACAGAAATGTGGGCATAACTGGTACGTTCAAAAATTATGTAACAGTGTCATCCGATAGAAACGTGATTCTACGGAATGCCGGCTGGGATGCGTAGACTACTGCAGCCGGATACTTTAATTTCTGTGTATCGCTCTACG